GTCAACATCATGACATGGATGGAAGCTGAACCTCTTCATCTGTTGCCCCGATGACTTTTCTGCAGGTTTGTCCCATGATCCTGTGCTAATGCCCTCAACTCAGAATCATGTGGACAGGGTCATCCCCAAGCGCTTGCCATCTGGCTGAGGAGACTGCAGTAAGCCCCTCACATGGGGTTTTCCGTGTGAGAAGAAGCCACGAGATCAGGTGGCATTGTCTGTGAAAATTCCAGAAAAGTCCACAAGTACCACAGTCAAAATATAATAACAACCACAAAAACCATATGATTTAAAATTATCTTATGAGCAACATGTTGCTGTTTTGTGACCATCTGAAATTAGTTGCCTGAGGTGGCCACCTCAGTTTGCCTCATGGTAGAACCAGTCCTGCTTTTTGGCTGGCTGAGGAGGATTTATCCACCATTTGCCCATCCTGTTGCCTCTCCAGCAGAGCAGAACTACACGGGCAAAACCTTTTCTGTGCCTGAATCAGTTTTCTTTTCCAGGACAAGTCTGCATCCCCACTGGTTTGTCTCAAGTCTTTGAACCAATAATAATGACACCATTCAGAAATGAATCCAAAAAGTAATGCTGGCTTTAAACAAGGAAAGGAAAAGAAAGCAAATCCTTGTTTCCTCATGATACTATTCAGATTGCATCCCGACCAAGTTAAAACGTTCTGTCTTTGCTCTGGCATGTCACAAATCAAAGTAATGGATCATCTCAAAATCATTCCTCGTGCACCGCAGAATTAACATCAGCTGAGCTCTGCAGTAGCTTTGCCCTCTTTAGCTAATATTTGCTAATTGTGGAGTTGGACAATGAAGTAATTTTGGACTGTCCTGGTTAAATAAAAAGGCACTGTTCAATTTAATTTAACACACATGTGCATTAGACTGTAACCCAAGGTATACTGAAGCAGGGCATATCTACAAAAATATATGAAAAAATATACGGAGGCTCAGATGCCAGGTTACGAATAATAAGCTCATTGTTAATATTAGGAGTCAGCACCTTTAAAAAAGATTGAAGAGACAACAATCCAGGATTGGGGGCGGGGTGGAAATATAAATCAACCAGTTCTTAATTGTTTTGGATTTTATCCAAGATCTTGCCTTAATTAATACAAGTTACTGTTATATTTGAAAATCATATGTTGGCAACTTAACCCATTCCCTGTGATATTACCACCATTTTCATAACTAATTGGGTTGGTCCTCGAATATCAGATGAAAACCTTCTGTATGAAAACTCCAGTGCCACATTCCTTGGAAATGCAGAACTAATTGCACAGTTCTGTAGATTTAGGCCTTTTGAAAGCCAAGCGACAAGGCAAACCCTGTTGTCTGTTTTGTCCTGATCTGTCTTTCTACCCCTCACTTCTTCCACATCATGTAAAGGGGATCACACAGAATTGTCCTATTTTACATTCATATAAGCTTTCCAGCCCAAGTCTAATATTCTTAGCCACTTGCCTGTTGGCTGCAATGAGTCAGCAACTGCTGCTTGCTAATAATAATGGAACTATCGTATTTTTTAGTATTTTCAGACTTCAGTATAAAGAATTAAGTGTGGGCATTTCCCTGTAATCAGCACTTTATTTAGAACTCTACATAAGGGTTGGGGGGAGCTTACTTTCAGAATGAAACATTTCTTATTTTATCATGTTCTTCTAAGATCTATTCAATGCAGGAATGAAAGTGAGCATGACACATTTTTATTATTTATCGCCTTATCCTCCACCATTTGACTTGCTTTACAAAGTAGGGTCTACATCCTTGTACATCTTAATCCTAGGCTGAATTTTCAAGAGGATTGTCTTTTAATTCCTACATTTGCACAGTGGCTTGGCTTAGATCCTTGCCTGGAGGATCACATACTCCTAGGAATAAAGCATTTTGAGAACAGCATTGTTTTATCTTCCTGCAGATATAAGGTTTTTAATGGGAAAGAAAACTGTTGCAGTGAAGCACTAACAGCATGGCTAGAATAATAAAACCAATTTCATATTAAGAAAGACTTAGGAGAAATTAATGGTAGCAGGCAGGGCGTTTTAATACAGACACGTACAGACATGCATTTCCTTCTATCACTTGGACTAATGAAGCTATGGGGGTTCTTCAAAAAGTTTCTGCTCTTGTAAAAACTCTATTAAGACTTTCAGAAACAAATTACATCACTTTTCTACATAGTCACCTTCCTTTGAAATGCATTTCCCCAGTGTCATACCAACTTTTTAATGCCACCATCAAATGATATATAAAATATATTTATAAAATGTAAAATATAAAAGTTCGGAAACTTTTTGAAGACCCCTCATAAATCATATTTTTCATTCTTTCATGGGGAAAGGTAGCCCGATCTTGTTTATATTTGTTTATATTTGTTCAGTACATGGCAATGAACCCAGTGGTGGTGACTTGCATGCAGTGGTGTAGTGGTGAATAATCGTGTGCCACAACTCATCACAACAACACCTCCTGGTGACACCGCGAGGCGTGCGTAGGTGAACATTTTGGTAGCACATTTGGTAGCTTGATAAACTGTCCTGGGCAACGCCATAACATGGCTGCCATGGGAAGCATTTTCTATTGTTATTTCTTGTATTTTAATTTTATGTTGTGAGCCGCCCCGAGGCTTCGGCGAATGGGGTGGCATAGACATGTTTTAATAAATAAATAAAATAAATAAATAGTCATAACCTGCCCAAAAAGCTGAGTACAAGGCAGAGGTGGGGGTCTAAGCCCTAACGGACCAAACAGCGCTTTTGAACCCACCATTTCTGGCACCAATAGAAACCCATTTCACAAAGAAACCTTTCTCCACAGCCTACTTTGCCAGAAAACTCAGGCACCTGCTCCTGATCTCTCCTTTCCTTCTCACTGTACACCACCCCCTCCCCCACTACACACACATTTGCACACACAAGCTTTATCTATGGGAGGGGTTAAGTACCTCAGGGGATGCACACTGGTGCCATCATATTGTCTGCCCCGTGTCTGTTTTGATCCAGTGTATGTATGTGATCTATACATATATACATATGCCATGCCTGCCCTCTGTGTGATAACAGACCAGTTCCTTATGGGACCTGAAAGACAGTTTAATCTCACAGCAGCTAACAGGGAAACATTTGGTTATGAAAGATGTGTCTTAAAAAGAGGGCTTTTTCTTCACAGTAGTCCAGGAAAGGCTTTGCAAACTGCCCCTTCATGCCTTCAGATCAGTAGTCCTCTATTTGCACGAGAGTAAGGGGTTTGTGTCCCAGCCTGTCCTACACAAACACTACAACTGGTCACGAGAGCATATGCATTTATCTAGCGCTTTTCCATGGAGTGTATTTCACGCAGGCCACTGCAAAAGTTGCTCTGTATAAGTGTTCAGCCTGCTCATGTGAGGATAAAAACTGTGGTGGGAACTGGTCTGCAAGCACCTTTGGCCAAGTACACTTATCCCCGCCTCTCTTCTAAACTTAAGAGCTGAATGGGTGAAGCTCTTTAGAGGAACCTGGGATTTGCGTCAGGGGTTGCACATGTGGCCCTGCCCACCACATTTCTAGCACTTGTGGGGATAGGCTGAATGCCTGCATGCGGTTAATGTTGAGTAATCAAGGAACAGACATGCAATTTGCATGGGAACTACAAATTGTTTCCTTTTCAGAGAGGCAATCGTTTTGCCTGTGCTGGCCAGCACATCCCTAAACAACAGTTGTCCAGAACATTTGCTTCTTCAGTGTGCATCTGCTGTCTTGGGCTCATGGCTGTTAGGAGACCTCACCGAATCTTGTCGAAGACTCAGCATAATTCTCAATCTATGCTTTGCAGACTGCTCCTGGCACTTGGGAGATGAGCAGGAAGGATGGATTACAATGACACAAATGAGCGGTGCCCTCAGTGGTGGAAGAGGCCACTGCAGATCTCATGCACAAAGGTCCACACAACCTGTGGTTAGTGTTGCATCTGCAGCTTATTTTTTTTATCACGCTCCACATCTGTTTTTGAACAGGTACATTAAGCCACAGGAGTGATTAGGTCTACAGCACCACTGGTAAAGCACTGGAAACATAACACTTGCATCATCAAGTGATCTCTGGGATGATCCAGTCAGAAACTGGTAGTTGGATCCCAATTTAATGATACTTTGAGTAGACCCATTGAAATCAATATGACCTAAAGCAACCATTACTCATTTTAGTGCAGTTGTTTTTAATGGATTTACTCTAAGCATGTCTAAATCTCAATTTAACTCTGGAAATAGACTTCTTAGCAATAGTCATAAGCAAATAGTATGAAAGCAACACATGAGTATCAAATCAAAGCCAAGTTTTTTCCAATGATCACTGCAAGTGTTCTAATTAGAAGACAAACTGCATGATCCCTGTCCTTGGCGCGATCGCATGCAGTCATGTTTCCAGATCCATGGGTCTCACAGAGGGTAAAGATGTGATTGAAATTTCAGAGGGAGCAGAGACCCAAGACTTTGCTGATGAGGCTCCTGTGTGCTAGCAACGGATGCGGAAGGGGCAGACGTGACATATCCAGGGCCAGCAATATCTAGCCCATCATCTGCCCATTCCAGGTCTTGCCAGGTATTATGCAACAGCACATACAGTATGTGCAGTGTTGGTTTTGCCATGGGTCTCCACTGATTTAGTCCTAAGTGTTACAGGGCTGGCATGAGGTTAGGTTCATGCTAGTTGTGGTTGTTGCATTGCATTCAGAGCCTTCTTTTTTTCCACTTCTGGGGAACTCAGGGCAGCTGACTAGAACCTGGATCTCCCAATCCCCAGTCCAACACTCTGACCACCATGCCGATGCCCTTAGCCACTTGCCAATTGGCTATGAGTTAGCAACCCCAACATGCAAACAACAATGGAAATATCCAATTGTGAAATAACATTTCTTAATGTCAATTGTTAGCCGAATTCTTCATTAAGAACAACATTTTGTGGGGAAGTAAAAAGTGGTCTGGCCCACATTCTTTCTTTAAAAAAGTGTTACCTGTTATGGCTAGCTGGGTAACAAAAAAAGCCATTCTGGATTTCTGCTTTCTTTTCCAGGTAGAGAGCAAAACAATGGAGTTCCCAGCAATGGTGACAACAAACAGAATCCAAAGGGTCACCAGCTGTTCTGTCTGTAGGAGAGAAAAGGAGCATGATGAATGGAAGGATATGGCTGCGTCAGACCCTAAGCTGTAGCTAAGCAAATGGCCCAGGTGGCTTCGGCACTTGTGAGGGCAGAATGAACTTTCACTTCAGTTCAAAGTTCTGAATGTGGGCATCCAAGGACTGGCTGCTGGAGTTGCTATTCAAATTTTGGAGCAGAGGCCAAACCCCAAGTAGTAAATTAGGAAACCAAATCTGCTGAACCACACGCTGAGCCAGTTACAGAGACTAAATATTGACACTCACAGTGCAATTTTAACATGGCTGCTCAAAAGTAAGTTCAGTGGGGCTCAGACCAAAGTTACCCTATATAGGATTCACCCAGTCATTTAAAGCCAATGTTTCTGGCAACAATAATGCATGGAATAGACTGAGGAGTAGTCTTGCTTCCTGTTTCCCCCAGTAGAAGCCAGATAACTTCATGTAGGAAATGAATGAAAAAACACCTCATTTTGTTCATCGATAAGAGGCAGAATGCCTCTGATATTGGAGATATCTCATACAGCTGTCATGGCTAGAACTGATTGAAGCCTTCTTCCCTGCAAATTTGTCTAATTACCTGTTAAAGTAATCCAAGTGGGTGGCCATCATTAATTTACATTGATGGGTGCCACTTCAGAGAAATAATGATCTTGGCAGCTTGCAGTATTGCAAGCTGCACTCCAAAATGATAGACAAATACGTCCTAATCATAAATGTCAAGAGATACTCCTACTCATCATGTACACAATGGCGGCTGGCCCTGTGTAAACTAAGGAAGCAGCCTCTCCCAAATAGGCGGGGAAGGGGCAGCTGAAACTAGTTGGAGCTTGACTAGACTGGAGTGAGAACGGGCCACTAGTACAATGGGCAGAGCAGAGGGAGCGGCAACAGAATGTTTAACCGGCAGTATAAAAGTTCCAACCTGAGCTGTTGGAAATGCTGAGAAAATTACCTTGCTTTGCTTGTGTGTGTGTGTAGTCCCCTTTATTCCTGCCTCCTTCTGAAGAGCAAACTCACCTGGTTTGTTTTTGGTCAGGTACAGCAGGCAAACTCACAGCCTTATGAGGCTTCCCAGATTTGGGTAACAAAACTGGGGGGTATTCTTCATATGGCTGTTTTATTCCTCAATGGGCCTATTTTCAGACAGTATGAGCCAAATTATTAGTGGTGGCAGCATCTTTCCTCAAAGGCTAAGAGAATGATATGTCCAAGGCTGAAGTACAGGCTGGATCTAATGTTTATGTAGAAGTCCCTACTGAGATCCCCTTTCCGCCTTCCTACTTGTCAAAGAATAAGGTGCAGGCATTGTCCAGCCCAGAGGCCCTGCAGTCAGTCCTGGAAGTTTGACACAGACCTTAGGCAGAAATAAGAACCAGATTCTTGAGTGCAACAGGGTGGTTGGTTCTGCTCTCTTGACCAGTGAGAAGGAGGAGGCCAAGGTTTTATTGTCCCAGGAGTGATCAGAAAAGATAGAAAAAGGCTTGGTATGCATATTCATTTGTTGCATGGGCAGAAAGCCTTCATGGCTAAAGCAGACCTTTACGGCTGGGTAACTCACTATATCCTAGCCTTAGAACTCAGTAGCACCAGCCGGACCATGTGTTGCAGGTCCAGGGCTGCCTGATCCCAGACAGGCTTTCTTAACTTTGAGCAGAAGTGGACTAAATCTGACGGTACCTTTTGGGGAACTGAAAAAAGGGGCACAAAAGCAACATAATGACCATCACTTAGCCACACAAGGGCTCCTGAGAGCTAGCAGTACTGCTGTTGGAATTTGGAAGTTCCTGGCTCAGCTTCAAGTTTCCCAGAAGGTGATGCCAAAGGAGGGAGGGCTTTGCAAGCAAATGCATAGTGCTGTACACCTGGCTTTGTCTGGCCACCTTAGGTGGCCATTTACACCTTACTCAAAGAACAGGAATTGCATCACCAGAAAGAGGGCAAAAGTGGAGACAGGTTTGGGTAACAGGTGCACAGGCAAGTGTATATGTGTAAGTACAGGTTTAGAAATAAAAAGTATAATTCCTGTCAAACACATCAAGCCAGGAACTGGGGTGGAGGGTGCTATTGCACTCGAGCCCTGCTTGTGGGTTTCCTGTGGGGAGCAGATGGACCAATGTGTGAACTGAATGCTGCACTAGATGGACCTATAGTCTGATCCAACATGGCTTTTCTTGTGTTGGATCAGCTAATACTGGGTGAGATGGTAACCAGGTAAGCTGGCTGTTTGCCTGCTCTGTTACTATCATTACATTGCATTTATATCCTGCCTTTTTTCTTGTGAGGAACCAAAAGAAGCCAATATATAGCTCCATTTTATCCCTGCAACAACAACCCTGTGGAGTGGGTTGCCTGAGAGTCTGTGACTGGCCCAAAGCCACCCTGTGAGCCAAGTGGGGACTAGACCCTAGATTCTCTGGGTCACCAGTCCGATACTCTAACCACCACACCACACTGGCTCTACTGCCTAGGTGGTCATTGTTGATGGAAAGCTGGAAGGCTATTGCCCTGCTCTCCCTTCTTATGGTTATTGACCTTTAAACCTGTTTGGACTGTGAAAGCTGGACCATAAGGAAGGCTGAGTGCCGAAGAATTGAGGCCTTTGAATTGTGGTGCTGGAGGAGACTCCTGCAAGTCCCTTGGACTGCAAGGTGATCAAACCAGTCAGTCCTAGAGGAGATCAACCCTGACTGCTTTTTAGAAGGCCAGATCCTAAAGATGAAACTCAAATACTTTGGCCACCAAATCAGAAGGAAGGACTCCCTGGAGAAGAGCCTAATGCTGGGAACAAATGAAGGCAAAAGAAGAAGGGAATGACAGAGAATGAGGTGGCTACAGGGAGTCACTGGGGCAGTGGGCGTGAGCCTGGGTGGACTCCGAGGGATAGTGGAAGACAGGAGAGCCTGGAGGAATGTTGTCCATGGGGTTGTGATGGGTTGGGTGTGACTTCGCGTCTAACAACAACAACAAACCTGTTTGGACAGGCCAGTCCATCAAATAGACGAGATCTTCAAGTAGACGACTGCCCCCTGCTAAGTCTCCAAAATAGAGGTTTGTAAGATGGACCACCTGGCCGCCCTCGGCTTCACAGTTATCTGGATTAGACTTTACATACACATTCACCTTAATATTTAAATATATTTATTTCTGTTTCTTGACATTAATGAAATACAGTGGCAGTCTGTCTTATGTTCTCCTCTTTGGGAGATATGTAGAGTAACAATTCCTGTGCACCAATTCCAGCCTCGGGAGTCTTGAATGCTAGGTACCATGGCACTGGTATGCAAGCTGAACAAATCAGTGATGATGAACAATTTTGCAACTCCCTTTCATTCCAGGCTGAGGACATACACCAGGCAAGCCTGGGGAGCCCTTAAAGGGAGATCCAATGTTGTTGACGGATTGTTCAGAGTGGCAGCCACTAATCCAGGTCAATTTTTGTTGAGCCAGATTTCTGTGTGGCTATGGTCAGTAATACAGCTATTTATCATTTCTTATAACTTAGGACAGCAGGATCATATAGTTCATCTGTAAAAGCTTTCCTTCATTTTAACGGATCTGGCTAAAATGGCATATATTCCAAGCTGTACACTTAGTAGCACAGAATAGTAGAGTTGGAAGGGGCCTATAAGACCATCAAGTCCAACCCCCATTTCAATGCAGGGCTCCAGTCAAAACATCCCTGAGAGAGGGATGGCCAACTGTCTCTTGAATGTCTCCTGTGTGGGAAAGCCTACAACCTCCCTTGTTCATTGGTTCCACTCTGTCCTGCTCTTCCAGACAGTTTTTCCTAATGTCCAGTTGGAACCTATTTTCTGTAACTTAAGCCCTGCACTCTGGGATGACTGAAAAAAGATCCTGGCCCTCTTCAGTGTGACAGTCTTTCAAATATTTGAAAAGTGCTATCATATCTCCTCTCAGGCTTTGCTTCTCAAAGCTAAACTGTTCTTTTCATAGAGACTTGTTTCTGGTCCTCTGATCATCTTTGTTCTCCTCCTCTGAACCCTTTTCAAACTCTGGAGCCCAGAAATGGACACATAACTCAAGATGAAGCCTAATTAGTGCTGAATACAGGGGGACCAGCACCTCACATAATTTGGAAGCTATACTTCTATTAATGCCACCCAGTACAGCATTTGCCACTTCTGCAGCTACATCACATTATTGATTCATATTCAACGTGTGATCTAGAACAATTCCAAGAACCTTCTCACTGGTAGCATTGTTGAGCCTAGCATCTGCCATCTTGTAACTGTGCATTTGGTTCCCTTTTTCCTAAGTGTAGAACTTGGCATTTGTCCCTATGGAATTTCACTCTGTTGCTTGCAGCCCAACATTCCAGTCTGTCAAGATCACTTTGCATTTTATTTCTGTCTTCCAGGCTGTTAGCTATTCCACCCAATTTTGTGGGATAGTTGCTATACTATCAAATAGTATTAGATGTTTCTAATACTTGCAAAGGGTTTATTGATAACAGAAATTCAAATGCAGGCTGAGCCAGCAGCAAATGAGTCAGAGTGCACGGGACAATTTGTAAGGAGATGCACAGGGAACATGTCTCAAAGTATTTCTTCTGCATTAAAGCCATTTCTGTGCATAAGGGTTGCACTGGTTAAATTTTTGGATTATCAGGGCTATTTTTTCTTGCATGCCCATTTACTCACCCATAAGTGAATCTTTCCCTCTATATTAGCAGATTAAATACTTCAAATGTATTTCATATTAGGATATTTTGATCTTCTTTAGTGGAAAAAATTGGATTCAGATCAGTGCCATCCGAATGGAGTTCATCAAATTGCCCTGTCTTAAGTTCAAATTGTAAATGGTGCATTCCGTGTTTGATCCCAGACAATAAAATACCTCGATGTGAATGGATTAGATAATATTTCTATGAAGGTTGCTGTAATGAATCCTTGTCTAAATTAGGTATCTGTCAAAAAATATTCCACCTTGATGCTTCATCTGGCACAATTAATCCTGCTGTTATATTAGAAATTCTTATTTGGCTTTCTTTATCTGGTATCCCACTCATTTGCGACTGGGCCAAATTTCTTAGTTATTCAGCAGTACATCCTGCCAGGACATTTCTATATAAGGTTAGCTAGCTGTCACCACATATATGCTTCATACCATATTGAGACTGCTATTATCTAGACTTCTATTGATGACTGTCAACGCTGGAAAGGCAGTACAAGGTTGGTATTGATATTTTTTTCCAGTTACTAACAATGCGGTAGGAAACCATGAAAAAGGACCTGCACACACATACATACAAAGACTCCTTCTCTCTTAAAAACTGGGGGGTGTGGGGAAGGTGTGCAATGCATCTTTAAGCACAATTGTTTTTAATTAATACAATAATAAATAAACAATGCCATTCTCTTGGAAAATTCACTTGTGCCCCCCTGAAGTGATCTTATTTCAGGTAGAATTGGAATCTGGATTCTGTTTTTAAAATGTTTTCTTCACTGAAAAAGCATTTAAAGGTAAAGGTAAAGGTTTCCCCTTAACATAAAGTCCAGTCATGCCTGACTCTAGGGGGCTGTGCTCATCTCCGTTTCCTAGCCGAGGGAGCCAGCATTTGTCCGCAGGCAGTCTCCGTGGTCCTGTGGCCGGCATGACTAAACACCGAAGTGCACAGAATGCTGTTACCTGCCCACAGAAGTGGTACCTTTTTATCTACTTGCATTTGCATGCTTTCGAACTGCAAGGTTGGCAGGGACAGAGCAACAGGAACTCACCCTGTTGTGCAGATTCGAACTGGCGACCATTTACACATGCAACCTGCATCCTATTATATGGAAGTGGGCTCCATTGATTGATTTGAAAAGGTGCATTTCCATCTAACAATCATAATCTGGCCAAAGTTTGAAGCAGCACTGGTACAAGGTTTAGGGTGGGAGGGCACATACCATATCTCCTCAACACCTCAACACCACCTGCTCACTGCATTTCCATCCACCTCCCACTGCATCTGCAGCCCCACAGCTTCCCCCCACCATCTGCCACATCCCTGCCTGTCTTCCCAGTGCTGCTACAGCTCTCTGAAGAGCTGTATCAGCTATGAAAAGCAGCTCATCCGGCACTTTGGAGAGCTGCAACACAGGCCAACTCTTGGGACACCCCCTCCCAAAATGCCCAGCTCTGCAGAAGAACCTCTCAGAGCTAGACAGGTGGGCCTAGCTTACTCTCCGAAGAACGGTGACTGCCACTTGCTCCAGCCAGAGCAGCTTCACCTGCCCTCTTGCCTGTACTGGGAATATTCTCAGCACGGGCCAGAGGGCAGGTTGGTCGGGGTGAGCAGCTGCCACAGAGAGCCACACTGGCTGCTTTTTTGTTGTGGCATATGCCACAGTGAGTGAGCAACTGGTGGGTCTCTTCAGAACTCCTGCTGGAGGTGGTGGCAGGTCCTCCGGGTGGGGGCAGAGAAGGGTAATTTACCACTCCTCCCTCTCTGCTCTCTGTAGTGGGAGATTCAGCAAGCTTTATGGGAGGGCTGACTGTGCTTTTAAACCCCATGTATTTAGGTGGGGAAAGAATTCCTATGTAGAGTAGATTCAAATCAATCATAAATAACTCATCCCATTAATCTCAATGGGCTTGCTCTAAGTATGACCATATCTGGACTATAGACAGGTATTATTCAGGGAAACCTGAAACATGGAAATCAATTTAGGGAGCAATTCTATGCCCCCAAGAAAGCATCTAGGATGCCATAAGATAATTCAGATTCCCAGATCCAAAGCTGGGGACAGAGTTGTAAATTTAAGGTGTAATGCCCCTCTCTCCAGACCTTTAGCATTGTGTGTCATGTCCTTTAGATTGTAACTCTGAGGGAAGAGACTGTCTTTCTACTGATATTTGTAAGCTGTTTCAGGAGGCTATTTGCTAGTGAATAAGATAGAAATGTGTTACATGAAATAAAGAATAATCATCCCAATTTGGGAGGGATATATACATAAGGGAGTAGGGAGGTACGGAGAAAATGAAGAGTAGCATGGTCAAAAGGGAATGAAGTGAAAAAGGAATCAACAGTGACGGTTCTATAAAAAGAGAAGAAAAGCTTGCTATTTACAGATCAACCTGTGGATGTCAGCGTTTTGTTTTTGTTTTGCAATTGTGCAAGGAAAATCAACTGAAAAATAGCTTCCAAAAGAAGGAAAACTACTTGCCTATTTTTTTTAAACCCACACATGACATGCAAACCCTCCTCAGGACATACAGAAAAGGCTTTGAACTTTCTGTATAAGACTGTAATTTCCTCCAATATTTTGGCACTAAGCTGCAGCCGCAAAACTGACACTCTTGCTCAGAAGTCCCTAATGAACCAAAGCATGAAAAAAGAAAATGCATCCAGCTGTCAACTCAAAATGAAAAGCTTTCCGTATCTAACCAGTGAGCTTTGCTTGCCTGCCAAGCTCCTAGAAAATACAAAGGCACACAACAGTAAGAAAGCTTCATGTTTCATACCTTAAAGGAAGAATAAAAGGATTCCCACTCTTCTTTCTCAAGAATGTCAATAAAAGTCACGGCTTCAGTACAAGCGATGGGAGTAGCATCCAGGCTCTCACCGTCAGTTCCATTCGAGTCCCTGCTGGCTGCCGTGACCCCGACTTGCATGGCTTTATTTTCCTTTCAGAAGCACTCAGGTTCTCCTTGTGACAGTTAAACACCGCCAAGCTCACCTCAGAGAAGAGCAATAGCAACAGCTGCTCCACCACTGGCTACCGGAGGCATCAGACTTCAAAGCAACTGAGCAACACCATCTAAGCTGGAAATCTTTCCCCCACTTCCCCCAAAGGCTCTGCCTGCCACAAGAACTTGCTCTCTGGATGCTTCTCCTCAGCCCATGGAGCCAATAATACTTGTTGAGTTATCTTTCTACCTGTGCCGGCTCTAGGTTGCCACGCGTCTGAGGGGTCAACTGGGAAACCCAGTGCCAAGCTCCCTGCAAATCAGCTCGGCTAAATCATATTCAAGCACGGCAGCATTCAGCAGAGCTAGCCAAACAGAACTTTGCCCGTTCTGCTTGCTTTGCTCTGGTGCCTCGCCTTCGCACAAGCACTTCACCATCATGGGTCAAGTTCAGAGGTCATCACCACCCTGAGCAATCTGTTCAGCTCAGGCTCCTCTGTTCCTTTGATGAGTTCAATTTCACTCAACCCTGTTTATGTCTTGACTGCATCTTCTCAGAGACCCCAAAGCCCAGTTCGAAAGCTAAGGCAATGATAGTATCTCATAGTATAACTTCTAGCTAGACTGCTAGGATTGCTTTCCTCTGTGGAAGTTGAGGCATCTTTCTTTTTTAAAACCAGAGTTGCCGTACTAGGTCTACCAGATCCTGACGGAATGATATGGTGATGATGAAGCCCTATGTTGCAGTGCAAAAGTGTCTGAGCCTCAGCTTTCCCCACTGCTGCCTGATTTGGAGTAACAGCAAGTTAAACCTTCAAGTCCTCACTACAGACTGTGTGCATGATTGCAGCAGCCTCATTTCAGCCACCCCTGGAAACCCCCGTTCTCACAAATGGTGCCTCCAGCCGATTCCCACTAGCCACTTATGATGGCCCAACATACTTTCCAAGGTACTTGTGTGTAGGGGGAAGATTTGGGGGCAGGGGACTAGCCATTTGCTTGGGAGAGAATGTCATTTGGTCTGCATTTTCAGGCAAACCGGCCTAATTCTCTCCCATGCATAGACTGGAAGACATGTCTCTGAATGTTGTTCTTGGTGTATAAATTGCATTCAGAGATGGGCATATTAACACTATCCCAAGGTTTTTCTTCTTGAAAAGTGGTTGCTTTATACTCTCCAAGTTCATTATGTTAAGACTTTGGCCGAACTCGCATTTGGCATTCTAAGCCAAGTCTGTGGGTTTAATTCTGAGGTGAGAAGAGTTCATTTTAATTTTCTTAGGAAGATTTTAGGGTTACCTCCCTGTACAGGGGAGGTAATTACCTGTTTAGAAAAGGGTATTTGATCAGCTGAATGCCAGGATTGGACAAATGCCCTGAATGTGGCTTTGTCTGCATTTCTCTGCAGTTCCTAATAGTGTAGTATATCCACTTACAGCTCAAAGACTCTTGTCAGTGAGTGAGTTTGGTGTGTGGTTGAGAGAAGCGGAGAAGAGGCGAAGAGGCTTCCAAAGCTGAGGTTTTCTCCTGAGGTTTAAGGAAGAAAGGAACTGTGGTTTAAGGAAGGCACAACTCTGTTATACAAACATTAAAAGATTTAGATCTGCAACCGAAAATCTTGCTTCCTTTTAGTTTTTCAGTAATTGTTAGAACTTCACATCTGCATAGATTAACTGTTTCCAAACACAGGGGAGCATTTACACTCATTTCAGTGTGTTGCTCTCTCCTCTCAGATCTCAGTCAGCATGACCTCAAATTAATGAATTAGCATGACCTCAATTAATGAATGTGAGTGGAACTAGAATACTGAGTCTGTTCATCATGGCCTTCTATATTTTAACCTGTTTAAGAACTGCATGAAGAGACTAATTCTCCCTCTCCTAAGAAAACTAGTAGGACCATCTGCTCTGCTTAATGAACAGTGATTTATCCTGTATCATTGGAGGGTTGCACATTTCATTTGTATTACAATGAAAATTAGGAAAAAATATGTTGGGCTTTTAAAGAAAGAAACATCTGTTTTATGTCACTGTTTTAATTGCTATAGAGCAGGACTCCTGTATCTGCTGTCTCAGTTACTGCAGTTTCACTTAACCACAACTGACCATTGGCCCTTGATATTCATGGGGTTAGGGGCGTAGGACCCCCATGAAAGTAGGAAAAACTGCAAGTATCTCTAGGGAACCATGCACTCTGTTTGGGGATGCCATACTCTTTGTCTCAGTACGAACCAGCCTCACTCACATGTTTTGTCCCTCAGTAGGTGCAAATATTCTAGAGATATTCATAATTTTTCTCTCGAGGCATTCACAATTTTTCCCTAGAAGTATTTGTGTTTTTTCCACTTCTGTGGGGGCTCTGCACCTCTAATCCCTGCAAATGAGGTACTCGCTACTATCAGTGGTTTCAGGCTTCAGACAGGAGGGTCCTGCTGTATTTGTTCTTTGGTATCTAAGTCTATTACTGGTCTGCGACAGTAATAAAAATTCATTAAATCATTTACCCGGTTCAGTCATAACACCCAAATTCCTTGATTCTGTTTATTTATTCATGCTATTCCACATTGTCACTACTGATGTGATGTATATGTATATTAGCAGTGGTGTATAAAGTAATTCCCCACACAAACTGTGTAGGCATTTAAAAATTTTAAGAAGCATGTAAGTAGCATAAACAAATAGAGCTAATATCCTAATCCAGCCCATATCCTAAGTGAACATGCTGAAGACCTAAAAGTATGGGAAGAGACTGGTAGACCTAGGCTGATAACATCACTCAAGCGTTAAACATGTATTTTAAAATATAACTACACTGAACGATATCACCATGCTTTTGGTGGGACATATAGTACAATCCTAGCCATGTTTCATTCAGTTCCATTGCAGCCTTAGTTGTATGACTGACTTTTGCTAGTTTGGGCACAGAAATGATCTATTCATACTGCAGTGCTTTCAGTTTTCACTGATTGCTGTTCTAGTCTTTGGAAAAGGCCTCAAAGCCTGTCCTATCCACTCCATCCACATATGAGAGTAGGAGGGCAGAACAAGAGGCAGAGCCTTTTTAGTGGCGGTGCGACAATATTTTAAGCTAGTTTTTAGCTTAATTTTTTGTTGGAATTCTAGTGCTGCTGCTTTTTGTATATTAATTATTTTGTATATTAATTATTTTTAATTATTATTTTTAATTTCCCCTCTTGTATGCACATGTTCACATGGTGAGAAGGTTTGAGAGTGTCAGAGAGAACAAGAGCACTGCAACAAGGAGGTCAGACCCTCTCGCCTGCTTTTGGTCTTCTAGCAGGGTCACCCCAGGCAGAATGGTCAAAGTGGAGACACCAGAGTGCGATGCATCAGTAATGGTCACATTAGCAGAAGAGAATGGACATTCCCCATGGTGATGGGGTGGAGAAACTTCTGAGGGCAGCTAGTGGCAGCAGCAGCAGTAGAAGGAAACACTGTTGGAGGGTCTTTCACCACACACTCTGGTTAGCCTTGTGCAGAGGACAGCCATGTCAAATCACATCTGGCTATTTTCTACCTTATAAACCCTACAAGGAAGCAATCCAAAATGAAAAAAGAGATAGTGCCAGAAGATGAGACTCCCACGTTGGAAGGCTCTGGACTAGGGAAGAGCAAATGGCAAATACTAATGGGCTGCTGCTTGTGACACAACTAGATCAAAGCTGAAAGGAAGTTTACTGGCCATTATGCACAGAGGCAAAAGGAAAATCCAGTGCAGCACAACACACACTGTGGGATGTGAGAAGTGTGAATAAAGACAAACAGGAAACTGCGAAGCTGAACAGAATGGTTAAATATTGCAACACTTGATAGGAGTGAACTGGAATTGGCATTTCCAGTCAGACAAACATGAAGAATGCCTCTAATGCTGAGGCAAGACAGAGCACAGGCAGTAAGGGGGTTATATGACCAAATTTCCCCATATGTGAATATGTGAGCAAATTGTATCAATCAGAAGTTGTGGGAAGCCTACCTGCAGGAAAATCATTCATGCCTATGCTCCGCAACAGATGCTGAAGAAGGAGAAACTGAAAACTTTTGTGCTGATGTCCAAGAGGAAATCTGGAACACACCAGACCAAGATGTGCTGGTAATTGTGACAGCAGTGCAAAAGTAGGAAAAAACCCAGAATCCAGTGTTCTGTGAAGCCAACAATCGGTTATCACAAATACATACTTCAGGCAACCAATCAGATGTCTGTAGGAATGGACTTCACCAGATGGCCAATACAGACATCAAATAGACTATATAATTGTCTGCACAGGAGACGGCGTGGAGATGGAGAAGCTGCAGCCAAAGACCGGTAGCAGATGGTGGTAGTGACCATGCACTATTGTTATCAAAAAGTCAGAGTAAAGCTGGAAAAGATCACTCACAGAAGCACAATACCAAATACAACTTAAATAACATTCTTGATCAATTTGAAGTCCACCTGAAGAACAGATTTGCAGTATTGAACTCAGTCCAGAAGAATGGTGAACTGAATGGAGACATTATTATGGAAGAATGCAAAAAGACATTTTCTGTAGGAAACGAAAGAAAAAGCCAACATGGATGTTATTCATTGCTAAGGAAAGTTGATGAGCAAAAGCAAAAGGTGACAGAAATATAGCCAGAAACCTGAATGCAACTTTTCAGTGACTATTACATAGAAACAAATAGAGCTAATACAATGGCCAGTGAAAAGAACAGAAAAGAACAAAGGAGGAAACACAAGAGACCTCTTCCAGAAGAGCCAAGAAATCAAAGGGAAACGTTGAAAGACCACAAGGAGAATGTTGACCAACTGCAAGGGTTTACTTTCTAACCAAGAAAAGGTAGAAATAATTGATGGAAAAACTATACAAAGGATGGTGGATTCCTTCAAAAAGGAATACTATGAGGAAGAACCTGTAATATTGCAAAGTGAAATGTGAGATCTCTGAAAGCAGTTAGAAGGAACAAACTGCCTGGAGTAGATATGGT